TGCTACCATGTTATATGGATATGCTATGCTTAAGCACATGCAGTAGGTAGGAACGGTATCGATTTCCCTAAATTAATCATGCTGATGTTGACGAGCCTGCGTTTTTCCTGTTATAGAGAGCCTATAGGGCAATGTCTACTTAGTGCTTTATATTGTACGGGACAACATAATGACAGTCATTATTATAAAACACAATAAGGTATATGTCATCCATCTAATTATTGGATAGGTTTTTTTCTTCGATCTCTTTGTTTCGCGTTACAATGAAAAAACTTTGTTTGAACGGAATTAAGTATGGTAGTATAACAACACTCGGAGGGTATATGTGGCACATTAAAATACGGGATAGCCATTTTTGTCTTCTCTGTCTATGGTTTATATCATGACAATTGACCTGGGAATGGAATTGAATGTGTTATTTACTAGGATAAACAACACGAAACAACACTAAACAGTTTCTTCACGTGCAATACAATAGAGATAAAATAGCCTACACATTTAAATATTAGTCCGTCATTTTTACCGACTTAACTCAATCTTAAAGGAGAGATCAGTATCGAATATCAGACGCTTACCTCGTTGATTGTAATCTAGATAAATATATCAAAAACAAAATTTCCTCGTTTATTTTTTCACCCGAGAATTTGTCACAAAAAAGCTGTCTGAACTTTAAATCAAAAGCAGTATGAGATTGGCCATTTTGGAAAATGGTAGAGTTTAGTGGTCCATATAAACACGAAGTAAACGAACGTTGTAAAATAAGTTAGAGTTAAGTCAATCTATTAGATAATGAAGGATACTTTTTTTCTAAGCGCGTAGTTACGAAGTTAAAGTTTAGTCTTTCTGATAGATGATGAAGAATACTGTTTATAAACACGTTGTAAACGAAACTAGAGTTAAGTCATTCTGATAGATAATGAAGGATACTGTTTATAAACACGTTGTAAACGAAATTGAAGTTTAGTCATTCTGATATATAATGAAGGACACTTTTTATAAACACGTTGTAAACGAAACTAGAGTTAAGTCATTCTGATAGATAATGAAGGATACTGTTTATAAACACGTTGTAAACGACGTTAGAGTTCAGTCATTCTGATAGATAATGAAGGATACTGTTTATTAACACGTAGTAGAGATAATCTAGTAATTGCAGGATGAATTGAAGCGTCTATACACACATCTACAAATATACAAGATTCGGACAATGAGATAAAAACGCCATATCTTTAAACGTAGGGGTGGGGGAAAGCAAACACATAGGCGTTTCTCGTTACAGTCACTTCACCATAAACATCGCCATCATCACGACCACGACCACGAGATGTCGAAAACACGGTTAACATGTTTTGAGACCATATCAAGATTAAGTTAATTTAGAACCTTAAGCTATAAAGCCCATCAGTTGAAAATGATAAATGATACGCAATACGGTTATAACAAGTAGTGCGACTGCAAATTACCTAAGTAAGTGATATTTTGACGCAAATGATAAAATGACAGTTAGGTGAATGGAAATTAAATTGGCAAAGATAATTGCTCTTTTAATTTACAAGGATATACGTTTATAAATGTAAATGAATAGCACATTGTTAGAAAAATGCCAGTCACGACGAATAGTTGCTGGCTGTTTCAATTACCTGTGAAAGGAGAAAATCATGTGAAAGGGAATATCACTATTGACATCTGGAATAGGATACATCAGTTCTGTGACCTGACTTTGCATTTGTTGTTCATTGTAAGCGCCTTATTTACCGTCGTTCCAGTCTATGATGTGGTTGTGTATGTTACAATGATTGAAATGGTTGACTTATAGCACTGTGTTTTCGTGCAATAAAATAAATAAGCTAGTATACTGATTTTGCCAATATTGATTACATTTTTCGATCATACGAAATATACAGCATATAGTATATTTTGTACATTGTGCTTTTTGAACATACCTGTTTTCAGTATAGAGCAAACGAAATGATAAAGGGTCAAACATTGGCATTCTACCACCGAGCATTGTTGTTTAGCATATGTAATTGTAGCGTTCATGTTACCATTAGATATTTATGTTATAAAATGTATTGCATTATGATCGACGTATTGTAAACTATACGGTTATAGCTGTTATCAGTTGCGAACGACAACAGTGATATAAACCTACAGTATTGATTATAAATGTCATGCCCAGATAGTTTTTCGGAATCATTGATCACTTCATGAATTATAAGCTTACGATACGACCTACTGTTATCAACCCTAATTATTCTTTCCATACATTTCCGACTATTGTGAAATGGTGTCATATGGTACGAGCCTCTGATGGACGTGGTTACGAACCCACCTCACCCATACAATGTACCTAATAAATATATGTTGATACATATACCTGCATACAAGTAAAATAGCCTCATCGCATTGATATCGGGAACATGTTATGAGTTTGAACTAAATATGTTCTTTTGAGGTATTTAAATAAGGATTAATGATCATCATACTACTGCGTTTAGTTGACATTTATAAGCAAAATGAATACCACCTGAAAAAAAATGTCTAGAGGTGTTCAAGTTTAAATAACTTATTGCATTACAACGTTAACGATACCCCTGTATTACGACCTATAACATACTAAGTGATTGTTCCTATTTTAAGAGGATATACAGAGAAGTGAGTGATGGTTCCTATCATACGAGAACAAACAGAGTAGTGAGTGATGTTTCCTATCATACGAGAACAAACAGAGTAGTGAGTGATGGTTCCTATCATAAGAGAACAAACAGAGTAGTGAGTGATGGTTCCTATCATATGGGGATATACAGAGTAGTGAGTGATGGTTCCTAGCATACGGGGACATACAGAGTAGTGAGTGATGGTTCCTATCATACCAGAACAAACAGAGTAGTGAGTGATGGTTCCTACCATACGGGGATATACATAGTAGTGAGTGATGGTTCTTATCATACGGGGATATACAGAGTAGTGAGTGATGGTTCCTATCATACGGGGATATACAGAGTAGTGAGTGATGGTTCATATCATACGGGGACATACATAGTAGTGAGTAATGGTTCATATCATACGGGGATATACAAAGTAGTGATGGATGGTTCCTATCATACACGGACATACAGAGTGGTGAGTGATGGTTCCTATTATACGGGGACATACAGAGTAGTGAGTGATGGTTCCTATCATACAGGGACATACAGAGTGGTGAGTGATGGTTCCTATCATACGGGGACATACAGAGTAGTGATGGATGGTTCCTATCATACGGGGACATACAGAGTAGTGAGTGATGGTTCCTATCGCACGGGGATATACAGAGTAGTGAGTGATGGTTCCTATTATACGGAGACATACAGAGTAGTGAGTGATGGTTCCTATCCTACGGGAACATACAGAGTAGTGAGTGATGGTTCCTATCATACGGGGATATACAGAGTAGTGAGTGATAGTTCATACAAGTGTATCATACGGTGATATACAGAGTAGTGAGTGATGGTTCCTAGCATACGGGGACATACAGAGTAGTGAGTGATGGTTCCTATTATACGGGGACATACAGAGTAGTGAGTGATGGTTTCTATTATACGGGGACATACAGAGTAGTGAGTGAAGGTTTCTATTATACAGGGACATACAGAGTAGTGAGTTATGGTTCCTATTATACGGGGATATACAGAGTAGTGAGTGATGGTTCCTATTATACGGGGACATACAGAGTAGTGAGGGATGGTTCTTATCATACGGGGACATACAGAGTAGTGAGTGATGGTTCCTATTATACGGGGATATACAGAGTAGTGAGTGATGGTTCATATCATACGTGGATATACAGAGTAATGAGTGATGGTTCCTATCATACGGTGATATACAGAGTAATGAGTGATGGTTCCTAATATACGGGGACATACAGAGTAGTGAGTGATGGTTCCTATCATACGGGGATATACAGAATAGTGAGTGATGGTTCCTATTATACGGGACATACAGAGTAGTGAGTGAGTTTTCTATCATACGGGGATATACAGAGTAATGAGTGATGGTTCCTATCATACGGTGATATACAGAGTAGTGAGTGATGGTTCCTATCATACGGTGATATACAGAGTAATGAGTGATGGTTCCTAATATACGGGGACATACAGAGTAGTGAGTAGTAATAACGATAAATAAAATATTGAAATACAGATATATGATATGTAAGACTGTTATATCAGGGCGTTAAATGTTTTATTTTTGATCCTATCGAACATACAATTCAATGAATAATAAATGTTCCTTTTTGCATACAACCACATTGCTATGATGAGTTTTGTTTTAGGGTTAGCTTATTACATAAAACTCTCTTTTGTAAATGTAACAGTATAACATGAAGATGTTACGGGGCCGTACAAGCCTATGAGGAGAGTCTCCTTACTGAGGTAGACGAGAAACAGATAATCAGATACAATGTCAATTGGTACAAATAATGACCTTGTAAACAATGACAGGAAACAAATACTTTATATGTACATAAACAAGTCAACACGAATAAGGAAGATATTTTAAAACCAAAACAACCCTCTTGAAGTTATTACTACGTTTAAATGTTCATGGGGATGTAAGCTTTATATGAAATCTTTCTCAGAATAAAACACGTCTGCATCAATCAGATATGACGCTGTTTTCCTGTCGTTATAAACTTCCTTATTTGGACATGACATAAACGACATACCGTCGCAACACTTCAAATACAGTCGTAAAATTGCCAAAAGATTTAATACAAACTAATCAATACCGTTAGTTATAAGTGATAAAATCAAATCACCCAATATTTACATATAAGGGAGAAGACGATTTATTTCAAATCGTTCATATGATATTTGAAACTGGTTGTCTACAGACAAATTTTACCCAGCGCCATCTTGAATAAAATATCGAGCTGTATGCATTTTTCGTGTATCTTACATGTGTGGTATTTCAAATTTTCGACTTAAACATCATAAATCCACAAACTTACTACTCACCTGGTAGGTTGATTTTAAGGTTTCTAAGTATCTTCCGTTAATTCACAGTCTTATGGAATATTGGATCTTGATTGTTCTCTGTTTTAGCCCAACTCCGACATTTTCTGTCACACCTTACGCATTCATTAAAATTGAATATACCTCTGAAGCTGAACCTGATCGATAGTACAGGGCAGTGTTCCGTGAAACTGGAACCAAGCCATGATGACAGAGGTCTAGCGAGGGATAATCGTTTAAATCAATATACTTGATATACTCCAAACTTCTCTACATGAATTTGTTTATGGTCAGTGAGAATGCAGGAATGCAAAAGAAATTGTTAACAGAAAAGGAACGAAATTATTATTCAAAATTAAAATGGAAAGGAGCCAAGACGGCGACAAAACAAAAGCAAATACACCATAACGCAAGCCTCTAAAGTAGGCGACAACAGAATATCAAGCCAAGGAAGGCCTTGTACTGTACAACGTGGAACAGCCGTAATGGGTTTCGCTTTATATAAGTACATATGCCTTTCTTTTTATACATATATTAATATCACTTTGTATCCATAACTTGTCAAGTTTTAATCATGATGTTTTTCTCATTTCCTGTTGTTTGGGTTGCCCCTGCTTGACTACAGATTTCATTTTTGTGCTTTGAAATCAAATAACCCATGTAATGTCAAATCTGACCTAACACATGCTTACATTGGTCTGACTAAACACATGCTTACATTGGTCTGACTAAACACATGCTTACATTGGTCTGACTAAACACATGCTTACATTGGTCTGACTTAACACATGCTTACATTGGTCTGACCTAACATATGCTTACATTGGTCTGACTTAACACATGTTTACATTGGTCTAACTTAACACATGCTGACATTGGTTTGACCTAACACATGCTTACATTGGTCTAACTTAACACATGCTTACATTGGTCTGATTTAACACATGCTTACATTGGTCTGACTTAACACATGCTGACATTGGTTTGACCTAACACATGCTTACATTGGTCTGACTTAACACATGCTTGCATTGGTCTAACTTAACACATGCTTACATTGGTCTAACTTAACACATGCTTACATTGGTCTAACTTAACACATGCTTACATTTGTCTGATTTAACACATGCTTACGTTGGTCTGACTTAACACATGCTTACATTGGTCTAACTTAACACATGCTTACATTGGTCTGACTTAACATATGCTTACATTGGTCTGACTTAACACGTGCTTACAATGATCTGACTTAACACATGCTTACATTGGTCTGACTTAACACATGCTTACATTGGTCTGACTTAACATATGCTTACATTGGTCTGACTTAACACGTGCTTACAATGATCTGACTTAACACATGCTTACATTGGTCTGACTTAACACATGCTTAAATTGGCTGACTTAACTCATGCTTACATTGGTCTGTCTTAACACATGCTGACATTGGTTTTACCTAACACATGCTTACATTTGCTGACTTAACTCATGTTTACATTGGTCTGACCTAACACCTGCTTACATTGGTCTGACGTAACACATGCTTACATTAGTCTGACTTAAGACATGCTTACATTGGTCTCACTTAACACATGCTTACGTTGGTCTAACTTAACACAAGCTTACATTGGACTGACTTAACACATGCTTACATTGGTCTGACTTAACACATGCTTACATTGGCTGACTTAACTCATGTTTACATTGGTCTGACCTAACACATGCTTACATTGGTCTGACTTAAGACATGCTTACATTGGTGCATTGATATTTTACTAGAACATACATGAGCCAACACATCGTGGAAGCAAGAAATTGGAAAATGATTACATTAAGATAATCGTCACTTTTTTTCTCCCAGTAAGGCGTGAGTGTTAGTGTCTTTTAAAAAAAATACATAACGTTAACAGTGCTTAAAATATGTGATTATTTTGTTTGTATCCGGAAACAAACTCCCCACCCCTATGTAATATTATATATTATTTCTTATTATCTCTATAAAGATCTATATAAACAGTCAATGTTTTTCAGTAGTCCGTTTCAGAGTCGACCCCGTTGAAGGCCCCTGTCACTACCTGTCACATACAGGTAGGCTTGTCATACTGCGCGACGACTCGACATCAGCAGTTCAGCGCCATTGATTTTTTGGAAAAGGACAAAATCAATGACACGGTCATGTTTGTGCGGTCTTTTATTCTCCAAGTTAGTTGGCATCGATCGGTGGAGTTGTGCTGTATTGTAATCCCATATAGTCGCCTACAGAGGCTGTGTCAAGTGTTGGACGCCCTGTCAGCCGGTCTACTTAACCCTTGTTGTAATTAGATATACAAGGCATACCTCCACATTGTGTAAATGTAAATTCACATGTTATCTTTGAAGGTAAAATCAATTCAATTTTTAGATTAATTTCGATCTATTGATGTTGTATTTATAAAGAAGGAATTGTATGAAATATTTGATCTTATGATGCGATATTCATGACTTAAATATATTTTTTATGTTACTATCGTGCATAGTTCCTTGTTATTTTTACAATTTTGCAGGAAACTTTATGATAATTATTGTTCATGATGTTTCTATTGTTGTCAGTTTGACGGATTATATACCAAATTATGATGAATGTGTTTATAGTATCTTCAGATATAACAAATTAATCTACTCTGTCTCAAATATCATATTATTCTATTACTGTAACATATGTCTGCATTACTGCGATTCGGACTATAGCAATATCAATATAGAACCATTGCAACATGAGTAAGTACGATGACAATAAGGCCATGTGTTCCTGGAGGGTAAGCGTCTTCTGCTTCATCGATACCATCGGTCCAAAATATGTCACGTCTTCGCATCAATAACTCAGGTAGTGGCTTATTAGCGTCATCAAAAACATCGGCCTTCATACGGGACAGTTAAGATATCAGGTGCAAAACATCGAATGCATTGTACTTGGTATTCCAAAACTACCAACCAACGGTGCGGGCTTGCTTGTTATTGATGCTATCCTCCCTTACAATGTATTTGATAAATATGAAAACATATTGTAATGCTGTAACACATATACGGTACTTTTAAAACATTATGTAAACAACATGTAAGTAATGACAACCTCCATGGTAAATATATAAGTCAAGGCATTAATAAAAAGCTTGGTAGTTATCTGTACGTACATCATGGCATTTGCTATTGGTATCATATTAAAAAAATACACTTAAGCTATATATTTATATTTGAAAGCGAAACTTATCTGTCATCAAAGTAACAATTATATCTGATATATCTCAGCAGGTGTATCTTTAATAAAACAAGAGGCCCAGAGGGCCTGTATCGCTGACCTGTTTCTTTTGGTACATGAAACTGACACATAGGTAACTTAAGACCAAATTTGGTAACTAGAACATTTTAATCTCTCTGAATGGTTCCGAAGATATTGTTGTTTGAAACTTAAACACACATTGACCTTTGACTTCCGACTTGCATTTAAAGTTGACCTTTGACCTCATTACTGTAATAAAGAAAACAATTCACACAGCTGGTCTACATAACATACCCAAATATCATGACTCTAGTTCAGAAAAAGTTGACGGACGGACGACGGACGACGGAAAACGGAAAACGGACGACGGACGACGGACGCCGCAGAAAGGCATAAGCTTACATGGCCACTCGGGCCAGGTGAGTTAATTATAAAGATCGAAAGGACAATATAAAACTCGTCGTTGTTTGAGCGGTTGATCCAAAACCTGGTCAATATGGTATAAATAGAGGTTACACAAAGTGGTTGTTGAATATGGTATTTATTTCACTCGAGTTAGTTAATTTTCAAAAATTACAACAGACACGAGCTTTACCGAGTGTCTTTCTGTAACTTTTGAAAATTAACTAACGAGAGTGAAATAAATATTATACTCAACAACCACGAGTCGTGTGATCTGTTTCTACCACAATCTCAGTCAGAAACAGTTTGAGTGTGACTTGATTTGAAAAACAAATACATATGTGTGTGTTGAAAAGTCTGGCGTAGTGATATTACCAATATGTAAAAAGTCACTCATTAATATTCAAAAATGACTTCTTTATTTTGACAAATTAAATATTTGTCAAAATAAATGCTTTGCAACAACTTCGTGAAAAAAAATAGTAGATGAATGTTTTTAAGTATTGAAAGTATGCAGTATTGCATTAATTTATATAAATTAACCGCAGACTATATGCGCGTACGCATATCGTACGAAGTCTGCTTCCCACCAAGTGATGAAAACGAGCTAATCGCTGTCAATGTCCAATTCCATAGACCTGGGACGTTTCTTCGTGACGGTTCTATGGTTGGCGTTTATAGTGAAATTTCAGCCAAAGTCAGACCCTCCAAATAACGATAATGGGACGGTGGGAGAAATATTATCCGACACTGTGACAGATCATGTTTTGGTTTCACGACCTGGACACGCGACGGTGTGACGTCGAAAAGATATCGAGCGTCTGTAGTAATTTTGCCTGAAACTAGCTATCAAATCTTTAAGTATCATCTCCTTTTAATATTGTCTTAATAACCCCCTTTTCCCAATTGCATAACCTCACAAAGTCACCAACATTTGCCGCATGTTGACAGCAGACGACGTAAACAAAACATCATGTGGCAAAAAGCGCGTTGAAAAAGTCGTCCCGGTCAAAGTTCATCTTCTCGACCAATCAAACTTCTGGAAGGTCATATACCACGTGTGGTGTATAACTCATATTTTCTAACAGTCTGCATATGTATACAATGATCTGAAAGTGGAATAACACAGCGTATTATGGTAGAAAGTAGAATCTTAAGTGTCATATAGACAGGAATAATAGTCAAAGCAAAACCGTGTATTATGTATCTATAGTACTTCAGGCACTACTATCATTCGGTAGCACAATCTAGTTGACGTACAATACAGGTGTAAATGTATGGTAATATGGACAGGAGTAATCTACACGTATGATACAGTCGATATGCACCATAAATGTGAACATCTGATATGGTGAACATACCAAAAAAAGAGACATGTTTATAGAAAAACTACAATTTAGCACGTCATTAAATGACCTTGGTTGAAAATAGGACGTTAAGCTCTGTACAACCAACTACTACAAAAAAATGTACATTTATCACATGTTAACCTTCGTATTATTTCGATATATTTTTTTACCTCTGAGCTCATGTTTATAGTGTACGACCTTTTTTGGTACCAGTAAATGTTATCATGATGTCAGAACGAAGATCAAACAATAAAACCAAGCAGGTGTAAATTTATATTTCAAGAATGACACAAGACCCAAAATGTCTTGATCAAGTGATAAAAGCACATAGATAAAATGTCGACGAAGACGTAAATTAGAAAATCAGTATGGAAAATTCCAATACTATTTCTACTATTTCAGTAGAGTGATCTATCAAAATTTTGATATTCACATTTTAATTCCATCTCCGCCAATCATCCCCCACAATCATACAAGGTGCTTCCACATGTTTCTTCACCACTTAATTCATCACCATGGCAGAGAAATACTTTTTTGGACATGTACTTTATGCCCAATTATCATCCTACAATGGCGAGATCTACGACCACGTCAATAGTAAATGTTGATATTTTATGTGTTATGTTTTAGAAATTGTGCTCGCCAAAAACACCCACAGCAACACCAGGCCTACCTCCAATATCAAAAATGGTGAGTAATGCTTTGTGTTGCTTTTCTACTGCAGAGAATCTTCATTTTTATCAATTGATATTGAAATGAAAAATAATAAGTATACTTATTTGACTTTAATACTCTTCATAGACTCTGGACATGGTATTACCACCAGTTCCAGTACGTCAAATTCTGGCACCAGCACCGGTAAACGTGGTGAGTGCATACTATTTTCACTTTTTAATTATAAAGTTGTTAGCTACAGATTAAGTACTAAATATCATATTCCTACACTCAAGTGTTCACGTGAGCGTCAAACACTTTTACTAACACATTGTATGTCCGCGCAATCCTATAAACATATATTGTTTTACTGTTTCGGAAAAGGAAGGCCGGTGAATCCTCTGTAAGTATATATTTATATTGACCCTATTTCGATTGTATATGTGTACACAAAACATGAATGAAAAAATACTGATCAAGTGCTTATTCATTTCCAGTTTGACAAGCCACAAATGAAAAAAAGAGAGTGACTTCCCCCTCAAAATCAAGCACCTTGGTAAGTTTAAACACACCATGAATAAGTTTGTATCTACTATTTCTATAGATTTCGAGGTCTCCAGAGGTGAGCGTAGTATTTAAGTTCAGCTATTCGCTAATCGTTTTTCTGCACATATTTTAACAAAATATCAAAAAGCGTTTCAGTTTAGTAACGTTTTTATTTGTTTTGATTTCAGCTGACCTCCGACTATCAGGAGATTGAAGTCAATGAGGACGTCATGAAGGCCCTCCTCGCCTCTTTTGAGGTAATTTGATTTCTTAACTTTAAGATGTATTTGGGAAAAAATAAATGAAAAATCAATATGTAGTAGTAATTCGTATTGTTTTCTAAATTAAAATTTTATTGAAAAAATATGTGGTTAAATTTGTTTCTCTCTCTTTTCAGATATCAAGTCCATATGATGCAAGTCCATATGGTCCAACATATCTTCCCGTTCTATTTCATCGCGCACTACCTCCATCTTTGTCCAGTGATTGTTAAGTAGACGCAGTCTGGTGAATAATGTTTGTGCTGAATGTTAGGTTTATGGTGAGGTGACCGCTGTGATACCTGTACACCACAGTAAAAACAAACGACGTTGTCACAGATTCCAGAGTAGAAAAAAACTGCTGATGCTAGGTCGATGGATTGTTGTCGAACTTGTGGTGGCCAGTGTTGGAATTACTTCACTCGGTCTTCATGGACCAAGAAGTCGGGGTGATGAGGTCGAATATCAGTATATGTCCATTCCATAGTGTTAGAAAACACGCTCAAGACTGATCAGGCGGTGAATGGTATCAAAAATGTCGCATTGACTGTCTTCAGATTTCCACGTAGTCTCACGCCAATCTTTTCAATGAAACTTCTGCTTATAAATGTTGATACAGTCTGATGGTATATGTATGATTTTGTAAACGTTCTTCCAATAAAATAGCGGAATAAATATTTTTCCTCGATTTGCATCAATCAAGAGTGCTGTTTCTGGCTAGGGTGGTCAACCTCGCAGCTGTAGCACTTGGTGGTGGCGACTTCTTGTATCTTCTGTCTTAAATCTTCACAGTAGACGATTTTCCACTAGGTGTCGATGTAGTGTGCAAATTTCTATTCCATTTCGTACACTGATATTGTTGATAAGAAATGATAGGTTTATATACACTTACAGATGTATATGGCGGGAATAATTTCTGTCCGCGAAATATTTCGCGGGGAAAAAATCCGCGAAATGATTCGCGGAAAGATCTAATTTTGTGAGACCTCGTGTATTGCTCTATTCACGTGCTCCTATAATCTTTGTAAGTAATTCCATTGAGAGACATTTAAAACGATTCCCTTTATGGTTGGTTTAAAAATCTTCTGATGTCAATTCTTACTTCGTGTTGATAGCGACAAATACTCACATATGATCCGTATGGTAAAGGGTATTTTTTTAAATAGGTACAGAGGGTCGAATTAAACTGTATGGGTGGTGATGTTTCGATATTTACAGTACAGTTCGCTCTGTGAATGCTACTCGTCTGACATAATCCTATGACACAAGCATTTAAATCGACACCCGTACGTTTTCGGTGCGGTAGCATGGTATACTTATACAACTTCCCGTACTTTTTTTAGATTCGGCGGGAGGTGAGGTGGCGGGAAATGTTTTCCCGCTGTTTTGGGAAGGGTTGGCGGGAAATGTTTTCCCGCAGTGTTTTGTGGGGCCGGTGGGGCCGGTGGGGCCGGTGGTGCAGTTGTCCCATCACTTTCTCTCTACTATCGTTACAGTAGTTCTTTACTCTAAGCAATAACTCTTGATCTGATTTTTTTTCTGCTGAAGACAAAGACGATAAACCTATGGCCTCTTAACTATAGACAATCCGGAATAGTAACAAAACTAAAACAATGTAGACATTCCGGAACAGTTCAAAACAAAACAATGATGGTATTCCAGAAAAGGTAAAAAAAACACTAAAAAAAACCAATATAAACATTCCGGAAAAAAATAAATACAATATTGACATTCAAGAACAGTTAAAAGAAATAATACTACGTAGACATTCCCGAAGTTAAAACATGATACAATATGGACAATCAAAAAGAGTAAAAAATAATACAATATAGACATTCCGGAAAAGTAAAAAAGTATACATGTACAATGTTGACATTCCAGAACAGCTAAAGAATAATACACTAAAGACATTCCGGAACAGTTAAAAGATAATGCCATGTAGACATTCGGGAACAGGTAAAATATATAACAATGTAGACATTCCGGAAAAGTTAAAAAAATAAATAATACAATATAGACATTCAAGAACAGCTTAAAGATAATGCAATGTCGACCTTCCGGAAAAGTTAAAAAATAATACAATGTAGACATTCCGTAAAAGTTAAAAAAATAAATACAATATAGACCTTCCAGAGTAGTTAAAAAATAATATAATATAGGCATTCCAGAACAGGTAAAAAATAATACAATATAGACATTCCGGAACAGTTAGAAATTACATAATTAAGACATTCTGAAACAGATAGAAAATGAAACCCAATGTTGAGATTACGAAAAATTTACAAAATATAATAAAATGTAGGAACTCCCGAACAGTTTTAACATGTAGAAATTATGAACAAATATACATTGTAAAATGTTATACAATGAGGTGTGGTGGGTTTTTTTATTATCTTTTTTGTGTGTAAATTAAACGGCAAAATATCATTGCTCATACTCCACATCGTATACATTCCTCACGACTGAGTGTTTATTGAATAAGATTGTATAAAGTTGCAATTATTATAGAGTATCACTCAAACTCGTGATATGATATCATACATGTAATAGCACAGCACACAAACAAGTAAATAATTGATGAGGATTCAGAAACGCATAGCGTGAATATTGAATTATGTTTTGTGTTAATAGTAAACGAGCCCGTGATAAACTGTTTATAACAGTCGAGCTCCAACACACTAACGCTGAACGTTACAAAGAACGATTGCATGTGCATACAAGTCTGGTTGTATCGATCAAAACATGCACTTCGAATCACATTAGGATTGAATGTTATGGTAAGATCGCATTTCATTATTTATTTATCTGACAGTTCCGGTTTAGATAATTTATTAAGCTTCACATAGCCTGGCATAAGCGCTGGAAGTTTTAAAGTGACAATTAAGAAAAAAATACTAAAAAGAACAAAGTGTCTTTTTGTATTTATGGAGAGAAAGTAAATTTCGTCCAATATAAATAACAGTACAAAGTGTCCTGGTCATTGTACGTGTGCATCGGAACCCTATATCCTATTAGCGTAGTTTCAAGGAAATCACGTCAGTGAAATACTTATCATTGCTATACATCCTTTAATTTCCGTCCTGTCTAAGCTCAATGAAATTCAATGTTTATCAGTAAACAGTCAATATCGGACAGATCTGTATCATATTACGTGGAGCCTTAATTGTATCACATGATCCTACTTAGTGTCACCGTGTGTGTAAGTAAGAGTGTGCTTGTGTCGTGGTAGGGATTGGTAGTTTGCTAAGTATAGGTCCGAATTTCAACGAAACATCTAAAGTGGCAAGTAACCGTAATAAAACAACATGAATAACTAACCAAAACCATATTGTATTAAGCAACAATGCTAACACATTTCTCCGTCTTCGGAAGTCAAACCTTCGACCTCGCGATCAATATCTTAGCGCAAACCAATTGTTTTTAGCGGCCTATGAATTTCCAAATTCCGACAATTTCTTAATTATCTACATACGGGTTCCGAATGATGAGATCTTTATTAACAGAACACTGTCTAATCGTGATAACTAAGCGTTCAACACATGGTATTTATTAACACAAGCAACGTAACACTGTGATATATAAAACCACAAACAACATAACACCGCCTATCAATAAGCTATATCATATGGCAATTCATTATACTACATTCTATATCAGATTATGTGACAAAACGTTATACAACATTATACATCAGATTATGTGACAAAACAGTATACTACATTCTACATCAGATAATGTGACAAAACATTATACTACATTCTACATCAGGTTGTGTGACAAAACGTTATACTCAATTCTACATCAGATTATGTGACAAAACGTTAAACTACATTCTACATCAGATTATGTGACAAAACATCATACTACTTTCTACATCAGGTTATGTGACAAAACTTTACACTACATTCTACATCAGATATGTGACAAAACGTTACACTACATTCTACATCAGATTATGTGACAAAACGTTATACTCCATTCTACATCAGATTATGTGACAAAACTTTACACTACATTCTGCATCAGATTATGTGACAAAACATTATACTACATTCTACATCAGATTATGTGACAAAACGTTATACTCCATTCTACATCAGATTATGTGACAAAATGTTATACTACATTGTACATCAGATTATGTGACAAAACTTTATACTACATTCTACATCAGATTATGTGACAAAATATTATACTCCATTCTACATCAGATTATGTGACAAAACGTTATACTACATTATACATCAGATTATGTGACAAAACTTTATACTACATTCTACATCAGATTATGTGACAAAATATTATACTCCATTCTACATCAGATTATGTGACAAAACATTATACTACATTCTACATCAGATTATGTGACAAAACGTTATACAACATTCTTCATAGGAGTATGTCACAATAAACTGTACTTCATGAAGTAGGATAAGTATATGGCAATAGATTATTGCTGCATCACAATATGGAGGAAGTATCACGTCTGGACTTCCTAAGTAGGTCAAGTAGAGCATCATTTATACAATTAGAGTGTGTATTTGTATCAATTGACAGTCATTATTCAGAGCGAAGTATCACCAGACAGACAGGAGTGTGTTGGTACATATTAACGGTATGGATGATTACGAAATTGATGGAGTAGGTGTCAGTGAAACTTCAACTACGGAGGTTGAAGTTGCTAATGGTAACGAAGCGGTGAGTGTATTTTACACTGATCTGGCCTGATTTATTTGTTAAATGAGTGTAAACATGCATGTTCTTCATTATGTAATATTAATGTTTTATAATGCTTGACACCTTTGTTACATTATTCCAAACATTTCTTTAAAAAAAAACACGAGTGCACGGGGAGGGAGGAGGGGG